GCTCTGGGTGGGGTTAAGATTGAGAGGAAGCAGTGAGAGTTTTCTGTTTCCTGACTAAACTTCTCTGGAGTCATTTTTTCTGCATTTTATTCCTTTCCCCTTAGTGGTACCTAACCAATTGGCAGAATACTTTTCCAGCATCAGCCTCTGAAATATGCCCCACCAGTTGAGAAGACCTGTTTTACAGAGTCAGTTAAAAATGTACTGTCCAGCAAACAACATGAAATAGGAAACGGTCCTAATTGTGTGCTTGGATATAATAATGCTTTATCTTAATTTCATAAAGCTTTTAACTAGTTCAGAAGCCTCTTGCCAAACTTGCTTCTTTTAAACAGTATAATGAACTACTGTCTAGTAAATGATTACAAGAGTTCTTGAAAAACCTAAATTCAGAGAATAGTAGTACTTCTGAAAGATAACAGTTTGAAACAGCTGGAAAATTATATGTCAAGGAGGCTTTCTATGAATTTTCAGAAGACAACAGGGGCCTGAGTCACACACCAACCTATTTATATACTGCTATGAGGAGAGAGATAAAAGCTGATACTTCTTATGATAAGTTAGGCAGAGATGTTATCGTTTGCATAGGCAAAATTGTAGATTAGAAATACAGATGTTGAACACTTCTAAAAAAAAAAAAAAAAAAATCACAGCCCCCCCCCGCAAAAAACAAACAAACTAAACTTAATGATTTGCTGCTTTAATCCATTGAATAAGATGACCTTTCCACTGTTTGCCTTATTTTACTAAGCTTGATTATATTAAAAACTGGTAAGGGAAGGTTATGTTGTTGCATAATGCATCAGTAGCATGAATTAAACCTTGAGGCTAAGTACAGACCATCAAAAAAGCCCAAGGCTGAATAAATTCTATCTTTGTAGGCTACTTGAAGCTGGGTAGGTTGAACCAATAAACGAGTGAGCAGACATTCACTTTTGAGGTCTGAAGTGCTGTCAGTTGGCTCGCAACCAGATGACCTCTCTTCATTTCAGTCTCCACACATCCTAGAGTGATATGATGCTATGAACTGTATTTTATATTTGGTATGAAATTGAGTGCACAGCTTGTCATAAAGGAAGTGTTGTTGAATATCTACACAGTGAAAAAAAGATGGAAAGTTTTACTAATATTTCAAGGTTCACTTCTAAAAAAAATAGCAATTTGGCAGTGTAAAGGTGCTCAACCCCATGAGGGCTTGGATCCACATGCAGCTGGTCAGTGGATAATTGTCTGTGTGACTGGGAAGCTGGAGGCCAGCTGGAAGTGATGATGACCAGATAACAAGGGTGGAGACAGAAAGGGGGTTAAGTCCTCCAAGAGAGTACTGAGAGAGCAGGTTGCTATGCTGGGGAGAAGCCAGAGATATGCTTTCTCTCTGGAAAGAAAAGAAGGTTTCTTCTGTTGTGAATTCAAGGCTGTACTGATGAAAAAAAATTGGCCCGAGAAAGTTTTAGGAAGAGAGCTGACTTGCATGTCTGAAGGCAGCAGAGTAAGTGACCTGTTGACAGGCAGGTTTCTGTTTCTTAGAAACTTTCAATTTTGATATATGAATTTTAAAATCATTACAGTTTTAAACCTGTTTATATGGATTTTTGGAAAAGATGAAAAAATATACTATAGAAATTAACTAATCACAATGGGAGATAGTGATAATCCTTATAATGAATTAACTTTTTGACCTTTTCAAATTCTTGTGACTTTTTCAAAAGTTCTTATCCTATCCAAGTTTGCAGCAGTACACTGAAATCCAGCAAGGACAAAAAAAACCCTTATGCTAGATAAGCGCCTTTCTCTTGTTCCATGAAATGCCACTCAAATAAAGAAAACAATCATCATTTTCTACTCTTACTTGCAGAAGATTCTAATATCACTCTAGGACGTGTGGAGACTGAAATGAAGAGAGGTCATCTGGTTGTGAGCCAACTGATAGCAGTTCAGACCTCAGTAGCATATCACCAAAAATGTTTGCAAATCCTTGGCTATAATATATAGGCTATTTACAAAAGTCAGTTGGCCTCAGGGGCCTAATGTGGTACACCCATCCTTGTGCAAAACTCCACCTGCCAAATTCCATTGGACTTCTTTTATGTATTTATTTCAAAGTGATAATATTTATTTAGCCATTATTTTAGATACATGTACAGTTAATACTCCCAGATAATTCATATATAACACCACATTTAAATTCTTGTGAAGACAACTAGTCCGTAAAACTTCAGCACTTAGGCTAGGAACAGAAATCACGCACAAACCAGTGTAAGTGATCGAAACTGGTTCAAATCTGTTACACAGCAGAAGTTCAGTGCACATAAACCACTTTCAAAATGGTTGCAACTGGTTTAAAATGAACCTGGATGGATGTAGTATCAGACTTAACTGATTTAAGTTAAATCAGTTTATAGAACTTCTGTCCCAGATCCCCTCCAAATTCAAGGTAACTCTGTCCCCCAGGATCCCAAGATGCTTTGCACCTCCCCTGCAAACCTCCTAGGGTGGGTGGGCTAGCTTTGGCCCAAGCTGTCTGCTCCAGCAGAGCAGGGAGGCATGCTCTAGCACCCCCTGGGTTCTGGCCTGAGCTACGACAGGCATGCAATTGCCTTTCTGGAATCAAAAATGAATGTCTGTTTGCTTGCTTATTGGTTCAATCTATGCAGCTCAGACTAACCTGGGAAGATTGAATCAATTCAGTGTCAGGGTTTTTGACTGGTTGTACTTACCTTACAGAGTCTGAGAGAACAGGTAGGTCTTGCAACCTGTCCTAAAGGTCAAAAACTCTTTCCTGTGTTGAATTAAGGGGAGGAACAAATTCCAGTCAAGAATTCTTCAGTCAGAATATTCCAGCTGCCAGCAGCTTCATTTCTGCTTTAAACCTGGGACCCATTAGTGTCTTACCCTATGTTCACTACTATGGAAATGTAGGGGAGATGAAGAGGTCTTTAGATGCCCAAGTTGGAAATAATCAGGAGTCGTTCTCTGCTCATCCAAGAGCATTGATACTAGAGTAGAGTGTGTATAGGGGAAGGTACTGCCAGGTACTAGACACATTGTTTTTTAACTACTTATTTTGATAACATGGTGAGCTTGTCATCATTGCTTTGTATCTTGATTGTGTGTTTTACATACATCTGTGATGGCAACTGACCCTTAAAGAGAATATTTGCTGTCTCAGCTCCTGATATCCTTTAAATCAAAGACAAAATGCAGATGACCGGTAGAAAATCGATAAACCAAATACCATATTTATTCAATTATAAGACAACCCCCTCCCTGTTATTACAGGCTATATATGGAAAATTTACAAATTTGATATAATTTTCCAGGTATAGAATCTAAATATTGGAGGTATGTCTTGAATCTTTCCCTCCCCTCCACCCCCTTCCTTGCCTCCACAGGAAAGCAGTGACTGGTTGTGGGGGTCAAGTGGCCCTCTTGCCCTTTGCCCCACTCACTCCTTCTCCCTACAGCCTTCTTGCCACCTGTACCCCAGCTCCCCTCAGTCTCTGCCTCTTCCTCCCTCTGTCTCCCCTCCTAAAGTTAGATGCTGCTTGGGATGCTTTTTCCCAGAGCACAGCACATGGAAGCTCAGCCATTGCCTAGCCATGCAGCAGTGTCAGCACTGCTGATTGGCCAATCAGGGAAAGGAATTCAGTACTCCATGTCCAAGAAAGACCCTAGCCCGAGCCAGAGCCAAGCTGGGCCTGACAGTATGGGGGAGGGAGGAGGCAAAAGCTGCACAGTGCAGGGTACAGGGCCAGAGTCAAAGCCACTCCCCTCTACACTTCGTATGCAAATACAGGACAAGGGGCTTTTTCCCCATGCTGATTTTGGGGGAGACGGACCTCATCTTATATTCAAGTAAATACAGTATGTTATTTGTTTCTGCTTCCATTTGCCAAAAGTTATGTCATTTTTGTTGCACTATACCTGGTTTACAATGTACTTTTTGTTGTTGAGCAAAATGTAAAGAAGAATTTAATTAAACAGAAAACCTCACGTGTTTTACTCAGCTCAGCTTTCAAAGCCAGCGGTGCCCAAATTTCCAGCCTTGTAGGCTGAACTAGCAGCACAGGGTTGGTCTACAGGATGGGTCAGATCCCGCACTGGGTTGGCACACACGGTCAGTCTCCAGGTATGATCTAATGTACTGGCCTGACCCTGCATGCCAGATCCAGATGAGCACTTACCTAATACATAAAGCCACATTACCTGGCCTGTGGGTTCCCATGGGTTTGGAAATGTGACAGCAGGAAAGTTGGCAATTAATGCAGTCACCATTCCCCAACTACAAAATTTCCAGACCCCAGGGAAGCACCACAGGCCAAACAGCATGGCTCCACTGGCTAGATCTGGCTCGCAGGCCAGGGGTTGATCCACCACTGTTCTAAAAGTTCACATAGTAAGAAGTATTTGAAACAGTAAATATGTCAAAAAAGTAAATTTTACATTTTAAATTGTTTAGCATTTGATTCTTTGGATGGAGGAAGCCCTCTTGCTTAAATAATTCCATTTCTGGCACTACAAGGTAGAAACTGAATGTGTGTGATTAAACCTGTTTCCAACTTATTTTAATAATTAAATTTTAAAAAAGAGGCAGGTTACAAAGTCTGAGAGATCTTTATTCTTCAGAGAAAACACTATGATTTCATTGTTTGTATTCAAAGTGATTTCTTTATCAATCTCAGATTCGCTTTTTTTTCTGCATCATAGATTATTGAAACAACGTATTTTTAAAAGTTAACATGCTTTTACCCTTTTTTTGGTATTTCATTCAACTCATTCTATTAAAATAGTCATTTTTCATATACCTGAACTTGCTTTATCTTCCATTTTAGCAATTTGCTGAAGCATGTGGGTCATATATGTGATAGGAGAATGCAGCTTCCTGAAAAATAGTTCCCCAAAATTATTTTTAATTATAGAATAATCTTTTTTAAAAATTACTTTATTAACCTGAATTTCATTTCTGAATTGATATGTTCTTCTAATAACGTTCACTTTAGGATCTGAACAAACGTTTGTCGCTGCCTGCAGACATCAGAATACCTGATGGATATCTAGAAAAACTGCAGATAAATAGCCCACCATTTGATCAGCCGATGAGTCGACGCTCTCGTAGAGCATCACTAGTAAGTTTTATCTCATCTTGCCAAATGAACTTCTTCTATTTTAGAAAGTCCCAATTCCATTCACATCTTCACATACTATGCATGTATATTATATGTTTTTCTTACTTCCATTGGATTGAAGGCTTGATCATGCACGTTCTTGAGTATCTTTGACTCTGTATTGAAATTAATAGAAAAGCTCAGCACTATACTGGCTAAAACGATATTTTTCCCTTTCAGTTTCCTTTTTTCTTTCTTTATCTTTCCTTTTTTTTCTTTCTCTCTCTTCTTCCCTCTGTCCGTTTTGTGGACTTTTCTTCCCTTCATTTATTATTAAGGGCATCTATTGAAGTCAGAGACAAAAGTCACATTGGCTTCCATGTTACCAGCTCCAAATGTAAACTCTTCAGACCAGATTGTCTCTGTGCTATGTGTTGTACAGTACCAAGTCTATGATGTTCCTAGATACTATGACACTAATAATATTTTGTACCCAAGTCAGATTAGCCCAAAAGAAATTTGCACTTGGATTCTTTTACCATATCAAGTTTTTGCTGTCTTGCTGTTGTTTTGACATTGGTATTCTAGATATGCGCTTCGCTTTAAGAAAAAAGAAAAAAAGAGGCCTATTTAGGTACTAAAGAATATAAGTTAATACAAATGAAATACCATATAAAATTAGATTGAGTTAATTGTATTTTTAGTTAAAATGTTTTTGTCGGGAGCTGTACATGTCTAATTGTGGTATAAATATGGTAAATCTTACTATTTTCTATTCCACTTGTTATAGTAACCTCCTGTTTTAAGTAATAGGAAATAGACTATTACTTCATTTCACATAGATCATCAAATATAGTAATTTTTAGGGGTGTACGAAATGGGCTGTATTCGATTCGGATTTGGCCCAAATCGGGGACAGTGATTTGATTAGTTGATTTGGATCACTGTCCCCAGTTCAGTTCGGCCAAATCCAAACCTGAAGATTCAATGCTGATTCAGAGAATCAGCAATTCGGCCATAGGCACAGATTTAAATGTTTTTTCTACATACCTCAAGGTAACAGTTGCAGCTCATGAATACTGCGATGCTAGGATGGATGGAGTGTCCCACAGGAGCATGGGGGGGGGCCCTGCGTGCTCGACAGCGAATGCAGAAGTGGACCGGAAGTACTTCTGGTCCACTTCTGGGTCTGCTGCCAAGCGTGCTGGGGAGCCCCCCCACCCGGTGCTCCTGTGGGACACTCCATCCACCTCAGTATCTCAACATTCACAAGCTGCCTAGTACCCTGAGGTATATAGAAAACACATTTGAAGCTGTGTCGATGTCTGAATCGCCAAATCTTTCCAAATCTCTCTCAATCGATTTGGAGGGCTCTGATTCAGTTCAGAGAGATTAAAGGGTCTCCTGATTCGATTCAGAGATTCGGCCCCTGAATCGGGCCAAAACTCTGCCAAATCGAATTGGGGACTGAAGCTTCACACAGCCCTAGTAATTTTGCATTTGTTACTGATCTAATTTCAACTCTTACTGTAGAACCAGATCCAGACAGCCTAATATCAACTCCCTGTGTCAGTTGGCAGGAGTACTTCTTGATGTAAAAACTTAAACTGGACAGCTTTATAAAATCTAACTTCTTGATTTACCCTGACAATATTCTAGTTTCCTAGGTGTCAAATAAATAGGTACTTGTGAAACTATATAAAATATGCATGCTGGGTTGATTTTAATCAGTTGTGCTGTATCTTTGTTTTAACTGTAAATATTGTCTTTCCAAATTAATAATATCCATAACCAAGGCAATGAGTGCAGTAACATAGTTTTCCCCACTAGAGATTAAAGCTCTGTTGTACATTTTACTTATATGCTGCCGGTATTCAGCCAAAAAAAGATCAATCTAAGTATTGATTGCATACAAACTATTGAAAACACTGAGGCACTTTGTTTAAATAAATGGTTGTTTTACTACTTTGTAGATTATTGACCATAATCATTTGAATAGTATGGTATTAGTGACATGCTAGCAATGACCAGTACAGTGCCTTAGGATCTTTGTCTTTTCTGATGTAATAGTGTACTCAAGTAACCTCTCTAGGTTTAGATTATAATATTTAGTTTGATTTTTTTTTCTTTGCATCTGCATACCATACTCATTACATGTAAGTTGTAAAGCTGTCCAGGCTTAGTGCTGTCATCTTTAGAATTAAACTAAGAAAAACAGTGCCCTCTAATGAACAGAGAGCACATTTGGAATGGCATTTCTATTGGAAGGTTTTCTTTGTGTTTTTATTTTGTTTTTGTTGTTTTTTGTTGTTGTTCTTTATTTTAAAGATGTGTTGAGTGCTTGTGAGTCTAACATGAGATATGCCAGCTGTGTTTCGTTTATAGGCATGTAAGTGCTGCATTTTCCCTCCTTTCTGTCAGTCTGCATTGCTTTTTAAAAATGTACAAATAATTTATTTTCAGGAAGTTCAGTATTCTGGGCTTGTGATTGAACGTTTACCTTGCTTGCAGAGTAGTAATTTTTTCAAGGTTTAGTAGAAATTAAAAATTAAATGTTGAAGAGTGGTTACCTTTTAGACTGAATTCTGTCCTCTTTCAAACATAAAACTGAGATTACTGCAAAATGTTAATAGCAATGTATAATAGTTCATTTATTGCTTTGACATGTACTAACAAGTGCAGTGGTTTGTATGCAGTTGTGTAACATCTTGGGCACTTCTAGTGATTCATCAGGTATAAATGGAATTTCCAAACATGTATAGAAGTCCTAAGGTTAGACTTGTATTGCAGCATGTAAACTAATTTTATGAGTGGTAGATAGTGTAGGCACCCTTTGAAAATAAAATGAAAACTGGCTTTGTCTAGTAACTTAAGGAGTTTGACACAGTTTTCTTCAGGGAGTGGTCTTCATGTAAAAAAAAAATATATAATCACAGTTGGTGCCAAAATATGAAAGCAGCAAGTCCTGACTGTTACAGAATATCTGTCCTGGTATAGATGCATCTTTCAGCCTACCAAACAACGGTTGATTTCAGTTAATGTTAGAGAAAAATTGTATTCATCTGAAATGCTCTGCAAGCTTTTGGTTGGAATGTATAGCGGCTTGCTGTCAAACTTTTTCAGAAGCAGTTTAATGTAATATTAAATTGGGTAGCTAATGATGCATGTTAATATATCTTCACAACTGTTAGAACAACTATATTTCCCTGATGCAGTGCTAATTCAGACATGCTTTGCAGAGAATGGAAAAATGGGACAAGGTAAATCAATGTTCCATGGTTCCTCATCCTGCTTATGCCTGACCTCCACTGTAGCAACATTCATGTCCTCTGGACACTGTTGTAAAATAAATGACAAATGTACCCCCAGTTCTGTTTTCTGCACTTGCAAGATTGTTGGCTACTCCGGACTTCGTTCTCAGAATAAATGAGAAGGAAAATATACAGTAAAAATTCTAAAATGAGCCAGCATGTATTCAAACTCCTCACATGGATTCTAGCACCAGGATTTCTGATGAATTATCTTTTCAGAGTGTTTTAGGAATTTTCCAGGGATCCTAGCACAAGTAATTGGGGTTCATTTTTTTTCTGCTGAAACAAAACTGGCGTTCTGAAGATTCACTGTCCTGTGTATAAAAAGAGCCTCCCAAAAATGTAGTTCCTGTACAAACTTAAGAAAAATATGCATTGAGTTTATAAAGGAAACCTATATGCAACCTTAAATGCTGATGTTCAGTGTCTCTGTACTGAATGTAATGTATAATGTTCTTATGATTGAGTGGGCAAATGGAAAACTGAAAATAGGTGCTGAAGCTGGTCTCATCATTCAACACGTGGTGAGGCTATAACACTGTAGGAAAGACCCTTCAGGTAGGAGTACAAAAGGGTAAAAGCACACTGGAAGAAGAAAGTTAAGTCTGACATGGAGAGCCACCTTGATTAGAAATGGAAAAAGCAGCCAAACCTTGAGAGATGGCTTGGTTTGGACTCTTTAGTCTTAGTGTTCTCTTGATTATTTATTAAGTCAAAACCCTGGAAATGGGTATGTTTTGATCCTGTGCAGGCTGCATGCATTGTGCGAAGCTGATTTAAAACAGTAATATAAATGAAAATTACCCTACAGTCACCCCAGATCATTACTTTTAAGTATCAAATGTGTGAGTAGCAGAGGGGGAGAGAAAGAAGGCAGGAGAAAAGCCAAGGGCTCAGGGCCTGCTATAAGCCCAAAAAGAGAAGAACAGATCTTTAAAATGTTTTTGAGAAAAACGGCAGTTAAAGACACTGAGCAAGAAAGAGGTGTAGAACATTCTAATATCACCCCACCATACAGAATATGATGTCAACAGTGATAAAAATTAAAAGAATTGAAACAATTTGGGAGGGGAAGGGTGGTAAGGTATTCTAAATTTTACCTTCTTCAACTTAATATCCAGACCTCCAAAGGGGGGTGATGGGTTGAAAGGCTGAGCTGTAGGATTTGGCGTGGTATGACAAGTCCCCAAAATGATGTGCTAAAATAATTTTTCAAGTTGTGTAACATTTTAAGTTCACTTTATGGTTCAGTGCTTTAAGACTTTCTGCGAAACAAAGTTTTGATTGTTGAATAGGTGAAATGTAAGTGAGATGTCACTCATTATTGTTATGTATTTATTGAATATCATATCTTGCTTTTATTGCAGTCAGAAATTGGATTTGGGAAAATGGAAACTTACATCAAATTGGAAAAACTTGGAGAGGTTTGTATAATTGTCTTTAGGAGTCGCCTATCTATAGCACTGCTGAGAATATACACTTTATTTACTTCAAACTTAAAAATAAAAAAATGACCTTTTAAAAGTTGTCCCTATAAATCCCCACTACATCTATGTCTCTATGAGTAAACTAAATATAAAATAATGTGCAAATTGCTCATACATCCTGTGTGTATTTGTAGATATTTTTTGTGGATGTAGATATTACAAATAAGCAAGGAGAGCATTGGAGCTTGAGCACAACAAAAAAACAGACTCCCTTACAAATTCTTTTTGGACAATTGCTATCAAGATCTGCAGTGTACAGTAATAGATGCTGTCTATGTTCATAGCTGCTGTGAAAAGAAAGAATGGGGAAAATATTGTGTTACTTGATATTGCAATAATTACATCTTTCTCAGATGTAATGTTTCACTCATTTCCAAATGCATCTGGTTTAATTTGCCCCTGTTGTATATTAGATGGCTCTTGTTATATGGTGTAATGTTACGTGTCTCTGGGGAAAATAAGTGTCATCATCAGCACTGGTACAGATGGATGTTATCCCATTTGTATTACTGCCTAGCGCAATGAACAATGCAAGTTGCAGACTATTACCCACGGTTGAAAATGCAGCATAGTTTATATTATGTATCAGTGATTTCAGTGTTCTGCTGAAAAAGAAAACACGGTTATAATAATGCAAGATTATTTTTTAGGGATCTTTGAAACTTACAAACAAATACAAAAAGATGTCAGAAAAAAAGAATTTCTTTTGTGTTCCGTAACTGTTTTCATGTAAGGTTGAGTTGTAGGGTGAAAATATCTTCATTCTGTTAGATGGTCTGTTCTGCACATCTCTAAAAGCAGTCTTAATGTTGGAAGATACCCAAGCTGGCTTTTAAATCAAATGTCGTCTTGACAGGGTAAATTATCCTGCTCCAGCTGCTGGATTACTACCAGTACACAACCTAGTTAATTTAAAACTGCCTTGGGTATTAGTACTCTATACTGAAGTCATTTACATACTCTCAGAATCTTTGAACCTGATTTTCAGAGTTGGAAAAAGAAAAATGTGGCACCAGTTATGAGCCTGTCTGGGTTTTTTTGTTTGTTTGCTTGGTGGGGTTTTTTTTTCTAATTGGACTTTCAGTAAATGGAAAAGTTTCGTGTGTGTTTTCTCCCCCTATTACTACCCAGGGTACTTATGCAACAGTATATAAGGGAAGAAGTAAATTGACAGAGAACTTAGTAGCTCTGAAAGAAATCCGACTGGAACATGAAGAAGGGGCACCATGCACAGCCATCAGAGAAGGTAAGGAAAAGTGCAATACTGTCTTCTCCACAGTGTGCCTTTAATAAGTATAGTTTTGGACATTTACCTGCTTGTATGCAAGGCTTAACTGTGGTATGAGATCTTACATTCTGAAAGGTGGTTCTTTGAATTACAAAAGAATCTAAACAAAAAGCTTGTAAATTTGAATTGTTTAATAATTAATTTACTACTTAGTCTTTTCTGATCCCATTCTTAAGTTCTAATTCTATTTTTTTTCTTTTGCAGTGTCATTATTAAAAGACCTAAAGCATGCAAATATTGTTACATTGCATGATATTGTTCATACAGACAAGTCTTTGACTCTTGTTTTTGAGTATCTGGTAAGTATTAATACAATAATCAAGCTTTATATTTAGTGTATCTATTTAGAAAGTGTTAATTCTTATTGTAGAAACACAAACATAATTCTATACCTTTTCTTAAAAATACAAGACTTAGCAGTCTTGCTGCCATGCTTTTTTCTTTTTCTTTTTTTTGCATATGCTGCATTAAGTCTGGAAAACAAATATTTTCTTAGCCAAAAGTTAATTATATCAAAATATGCAAAATTAGAAACATGGGATTGGAATGGTCTGACTCTAGTCCCTTGTACACACAGGAAACAGTTTATCCAAAGAGTCCTAAGCATTATCCATTCCTGTACCTCATGCAGCAGCATCACAAGGCACATAATGAAAACACATGCAAGCCATCCTATAGCCTGTCAGATAAAGAGGAAGAGAGTCTGGCACATCACCAGTGTCCTGCCACTCCAATGGCAGGGAAGTTATATGGGTAATGTGTGCTCAGATCCCAAGAAGAGAACCAGACTTCACACCCAGGCCTCAAAGCAGCGCCAACCCCTCCTGACAACAATTTACTAATTTGACTTTGGGAGAAAAATTACCTCCACCTCCCCAAATCTGGCAGTCAGTTCCTTTTTGACAGAACAAGATACTCTGCCAGGAGCACCAGCATGCTTACAGTCAAAACTCCCATCCTTCACTGTGGTTGAAATCAAAAAAAGAGAGAGAGAAATCCTTCCAGGCCACTACAGTTGATCAGCAGAAGTCTCTGAAGTGTGGGATTATGTAGGCCCCTCCTAAACAAAAATAGTTCATTTTCAGTTTTAACATGACTATTGTAAATACTTTGTCTACATATCACAGCTGCCTACTATTGATCCAAAAAAACCACCTGTCCAAACATGTTTAATCAAATTCTGAATTGTTTGGCGTTTGATCTTTTTTTTTTTTCAAAGTTGCCCTGTAAGTAATTTAATGCCATCTAATTCAGGAAATGCTCACCTGCATGAAGGACATGAACTGTAGGAAACAGTTGGCTGAGAATATAACAGTTATTCACCAAAGCACTTGTATATGTAATCAAACTCATGACACATGTGCCATTTTAGCTTTTTTCACTCCATATTACAGATATATTTACTGAGCATAATCTAACTATATCTTTGTACTGTGTGTGGAATCGATTCAGGTAATTAAAAAAATTATAAAAACTTGGTAGTTTTCCATGCAACTTGAAAAGGAAACAAACTTCAACCTAATTACAACTTTGGAGGAGGAAAAATAAATTTAAAATGCAATATAATTAATAGAAATAGCTGGGAGTTTTCCATGTTTAGGTATTTAATCTTGTGATAAAATATCTCAAAATTTTCTGCAGAAAGAAGAGTCTTTTTAGGAAAAAAAATCAAACCATAAGATATCTGACAAGATTTTTGTCCATATGCAGATAAAATATTCACGAAAATTATATTAAGCAGTGATGACTCTTTGGTTTCTTTTTTGGACAGGACAAGGACCTAAAGCAGTACATGGATGATTGTGGTAACATCATGAGTATGCACAATGTAAAAGTGAGTGTTTTGATAACTTTGCTTTTTTTCAGAATTTTTTTTCTGATCATGTAGAAGTTACTTTCTACATTTTAAGGTTTTAAAATTTGTTTTCCACTTGAGGATTAAAAAAACCCACGTGCTTCTTTGCATCTTTGGGCCTATTTTATTTTAATGGGAAGTTGGATCAAGCCCTTAGGTCAGTTTAGCTTGGTTTTGAATCCTGAACAACAGAGATATCAAGCCAATTATTTTGCTGAATAGGGCTTTCATTCACTTATAACTTTCTCTTTTATAGAGGAAATTAGATCACTCTAGCTAGAATTACTGCACATTTGTCTGCTATTTATTTTTGCTCTTCTTGAAATAGGAAAATAAAATGTACAAGTGCTGCTCTCATCTGACTTCCCAGAGTTTCCCACTGGTGTTTGTTGTATTCATTTGTTAAGACAAGATTGTAAATTCTTTGTGACTTAAGTTCCCTTGTAATATACTTGTGTAGCACCTAGACCAGGGATGGGCAAAATATGGCCTGTGGACCTGATGTGGCCTGCCAGCTGATTGTATCTAGCCTGTGGGCAGGAGGTCATGAACTCAAGGGATCTGGCCTGCAGGCAGCTGGAAGCTCCAGCTTTGGCCACTGGATGGTGTTGGGTGGGCCGACCTGTTTTCACCACACCAGGTGGGAGGGCAGGACTGCTGGCAACATCAGCTGTGGAACTGCGCAAATGCCCCATTCCCCACCCAGACCCGCCAGCTGTTTCTACAGCTGATGCCAACACCCACCCAGGGCTGCTTCCAGCACATTAGGTGGGGGGCGACATAAACTGTGGATGTGGCCAGCAGGTGAGGATCGGGGCATGCTACAGCTCCGGACAGGGTGGGGGTTGGGGCATGCTTCAGTTCTGGGTGGGGTAGGAATCAGAGTGCGCTGCAGCTCCAAGCAGTGTGATCAGGTGGTGTGGAAATAGGGGTGAGAAAGAGAGAGAAGAGTGGCCTTCAAGGGGATACTGAAACTTATGTGGCCCTCCAGCCAAAATAATTGCTACCCCTGACTTAAAGGGGTAGAGGGTTGAGTGCTACCAAAGTAGCTCTGGACTTCCAGTTCAAATCATGTGGCTTAGATGAAGTACCTGTAATTTATGGTGGGCTCCAGTTACGAGTACTGCCTGTCAGATATTTTGTTATTCAACAATTTTCACCCCGTGCCTCGTGCTTGAAATGTTAGAATTAAGGAAAAAGAATATTCATGTCTTCCTTTATTTGGACATGTAGTTGATCAGAGGAAACTCTTATTAAGCCAGAACTCTGCTTTAAATCTGTACATGTGGCTGGGCCTCATGGTGAACCATGAGAACTAATCCTTTATTTCATCACAGACAATAGAGTTAATAGAAGGCAAAACAGATTATCAACAAACTCATAATAACTTCAAGATAGATAAAAGACTCCCTTTTAATTTCAGTCCTGATAAATGGGACGTCCCTTTGCTAGACAATGATGCTAGAGATTTATCTGGGATGGAGTGCATTGCCCACCTGCCCTTCAGATGTTTTTTCAGCACTCCAGCAGAATGTATAGTGATGGACATTTGTCAGTAACATGCTACAAAAACAAACCAGGGTACTCGGTCTTCTCCTATATGTAACAAAGCAATCAAGTTGTAGAACTGACACTGCCTACATGCTGCTACTCTTCAGCCCCGCACCTAATACAAGTCAGCAATGAGTTGGTAGTTTTTCTGAGAAGGCAAAATCTTTAAACGGCTATGAGCAGTGTCAGCACTGAGTCCATATTCTGCCAGTGGAGGTATCTGTTAATAGATTTGTTTCCACCAGATCTAGTGCAAAATGTCTGAATTTTCCTGCTCAGACAAACATGAGCCCAGGTTCCACTTCTTGGTACAGTGAACTTGAGTAAAAAATTGACTGAATATGAAAACTTTCTTTCACATATCAGTATTCTTTGGATCTTCCTGATTTCTTATACATTTTGGCCACCTTCACACTTACCCTTCTTACAACATAAAAGGTTTAAATGTATGTACAATTGCCATGGAACTAGCTACGTTTGTGACTGCTGTTTCATCGCAGAGATTAAAGAGATAACTCATCATGTTGCACAATGTTATCCGCTTCTGGCTATAACTCTTGCACATTAAAGCTTGCTCAAGCAAAATCTTTAGTCTATTTCCAGTGTTCCAGTTTCTGGGATCTGCACAGCTACAATAAGGAGAAAGACTCTTACAACTGTAAAGCATTAATATAGCATGAATAATGGGGTGCGTCCAGATGAGAGCACACGTGCATTTCCCCAGGGAAAATAGCAGCAGCACATATTTGTGAGGTTGCTGTTTGTCCCCAGGGAATGTCCCTGCATGCGTGCTCTGGCGCAGAGGAAATTGCCCTGGGTGCTGGCCCCAGCAGCCTTACCTGGGATCCTGGAGGCCTCCCAGAGCTCCAGCAGCAGCAGTCTGGGCACATGGACCCTGGCCAACAGTCAGACCATGACTCTGTCTGACCAGGCTACAGTTTTGGGCAACTTGCTGCTGCTGCCACATGTGCTACTCCGCTTTCTGTTGATGCACTTTAATTTTTTATACCAGGATTTGCCGGTATCTAAATTTGGCTCCATGCTGTAAATATGCAGTGTGGAGAACCAAACTGTGTGCGTAGAGTGCATTTTGCACCAACTCAGAAGCCTGTGAGGCTCCGTAAAGCACCCATGCACACTCATGTGGACACCCCCAGAGAGCTGAAAGGGACTTCATGTAGGCCAACCTCCTCCGCAAATGCAAGCCTTGTTATTCCTGAGCCATTCCTGGCTGTTTATTGAAAACCTCTAGTAAAGGACACTCTGCAGCTTCCAAGGCAGCTTGCTCCATTTTCTTGTTGTTAGTGGAGGAAGTTTTTCCCCAGCTTTTACTTAAGTCTGTTTTGCTGCAGTTCAAACGAGTTGCCTATCATGATCCAGATTTGTCTGTGACTTCTAGTACCATATATTAGAGAGCAGTGCTCCTGTCTCTGTTTAACTGATTTTCTTAGCGCTCATTCCTACAATCCTGAAAACACTGCTTGCCAGTCACCCACAATGGAATCAAAATCTTCATTGATTTTTTTTTCTAAGAAAAATGGTTATTTATTGTAACAGGGCAGTTTGCTCCTTGAAGGGTCAGTTGAAAGGCCATCCTGCTCAATTAGCAGTCCTACCTTGAAAACTAACAAGTAATTTTAAAATGAAATGAGTGGCTTAACTGAGTAGAAGGTTCAGGTATGACCATGGCTGTTGCAGTAGTCCTTGAAGTAGAGGGCTGATAGTGTTAGCCCAGGATGGACAGAGGTATTGTTATGTATGTTTTGACTAGTTTTATACTGACGAAACAAATTGTGATGGGATGCAAAAAAGGCTTAGATTGGGACAGTGAGACTATTCTGTGCTGGGAAACCACCTCAGCTGCTTTACGTGGAAGGACACAGCCATTTACACTTGCCTTACAATTGTGGTTCTTTAAGGTGTTGCACTCAATGTTGATCCCATGACCTAACTCTCCCCCACAGCTTTCAGATTCCCCACCTAATGTGGGCCTTGGGTTGTGAGAGTTGGGAGCAGCTGGGACCCTGCCCTCAGTTCTATGCAATTCATATAGGAGCTTGAGGAGGTACAGGATGTGGCCCCAGTGGATATTGCTATCCAAAAGATTTTAATCTTATGTGTAAAGGGCTTGTGCATGTGGGACCTTTGTGACTTCCCAGGTCACTGAGTCAGTCCCCCGCTCTTGCAGGCAACCAGACCATAGAATCCCTTGCATAACTTAAATCACTTCCATCTAAAGGCAGTTAGGTCTCTGCCCCATTGCTTCCACTAAAAGGCTTGATCCACACTAACTGTTATATATCAAAGAAGCACATTTACTGAAGGGTCAGTTACAGTTGTCTTATGCACTGAGATGACGTGTCTGTCTCCAAGGAAGAGTGCTTCCTACATCACTTGAGGTGCCTTTAGTGGCCACCTGACTGCCAGCCCTGGGACAGCTGCTAAGAATAAACCTCACCCATCTTTTGGTTTATATGTGCCGAAGGCTGGCAGTTATGTAGATTAAATGGCTCAAGAGGTCCCAGTTTGTGCAGCTCAGAACAGCAGAACACAGCTCTCAAGCTCTCTCATCCCTGAAGAGCTTGATGGGTATTGAAACACTTGCTCAGGATCCCTCTAAGTTAGCACTAGCTAATTGTTGGGCTTGGGCACACATGGACAAGGTGTGATTAAGCAGGGCTTGTTTTCTTGATTGTGTTAAGGAGGAAGGCAGTATAAATGTATGCTTATAGTCATGTAACAATATGGGTGTGAGTAGGTGGTGCAAGGCATATTGCTGCATAACCTGCATTTTTAACGAAGGTGATCCCAGTTCCTCTGGTTCTAGGGCAGATAAATCCCATTATCATACAAGCAAGATAAGATACAATAGATGTAAACTGCAGTGCAAGTGTGTCTGTGTTATGTGAAGAATGTACTGGTGCTGTCATCTGCTACAAAAATAATTTGCCATGATAAAAATGTTTATAACAGTTTCCCAGTGTATCTCCAAAGGTTGTGGACAAATGTACCTTTAACCACATTAAAAGCAGAGAAAGAACATGTCCGCTGTTACAACTGTTATGTCTGTATGCTCCTGTAGCAACAGAAGTCAATTAAATCATTGTGATGTTTACCCTTGATTCATTCCGGATGAAGTTGGAGCAGTTTTGCTACATTTTTATCAGTAGAGAAGTATGCAGATGTAACTGTTACAGTGTAACAGCAGGTATCACTATAATTTGATGCCTATAATTATAGTCTCTCTATACCAAAAGTGCCTAATTCACAACGAATCAGCTCTACAGAAGTATCTTTTCTGTATTTCCAGATCAGGTACCTGCTGTCCACTGTAGCTAGCCAGAAGCGTCAAGGGTGGGTCCCTCCCTTACCCCCATACATATGCGGGGGTAATTGTAGAGCAGTAATTATTCATAAAATTCCATAGTGCACCGAGCAAGCTGCTTAACACTAGACTTTTTTCATTGTGCAGCTGCTCTTTATGTAAAGCACTAATACTCATTAACATGTAGCTGCTGGTTGTGATTTGCCAGCTTGAAGGAACAGGAAAAAGTAGAGCATGACTGCATTTTCATTGAGTTATGCAAAGGAAAAAGGCCAGAATTAGACTGGAAACTATAATGTTAGATAATGATACTAATATTCCCCATTGATAGTTCTTTGATTGCTGATGTTTAGAGGTAAAATCAAATTGCATCTTCTGGTTTTCTCCTTAGAATAAAATAATTGCCTTAGCTTTGCACAGTGGAATAGAAGAACAGAGTTACATTTAAAAAGAGATCTAGGGCAGAAGGAAAGGTCAGATTGGTCAGAGAGCATGTGTGAAAAAGCATTAGCGTCGTTAGGTATGCTAGTAAATGCTTATTTAAACAGCTCCTTGATTCTCTTCTGTGAAAAAATAAATCTCTCTTGAGATCTTTGAGTTAAGTGTTGCATTATAATGTTATATTATCTGGGTGGCATAAATAGGCCTTACATCTGTAAACAATAGTTATGATATTCAGAATACATTAGCATGGTAAAGTGACTTGCTATTTAAGAAGGCTTTTGTCTCACTTGCAATAGAGCAACATAATTGCTCTTCAGTGGCCAAAAACCTGCTCTTGTGGCCAGTGTAACATGCAGCATTGTACATTTATCCATTAACCTTTTTAAACATCTAATTTGTATTAATGTTTTCTTTGTTAGCTCTTTTTATATCAGATTCTGCGGGGTTTGGCATACTGTCATAGGCGGAAGGTGCTACATCGAGACCTTAAGCCACAGAATCTACTCATTAATGAGAAAGGAGAGCTAAAGCTAGCAGACTTTGGTATGGACTGAAATTCTTGCTTTATTTAATGTTTTCTTTGAGTTACAGTGTTAAGAAAACCTTGGAAATTAAGGTATTTTATCTGGGATTCTGCAAGATTGCGAGTGCATTTGTTCACATAGGGAACAGAAAGCTAACCACTGAAAGCACATAATGACATCACTCCTTTGTGTATCTTCAGACTGTAAATGAAGCCAAGATAGTGTTGTTCTGACTAGCTTTATTTCGCTGGCAAGATCCTGCCTTTGTTGTTATTCCTCGTTTACCGAGAAATGGGAAAACCATACTTTATCAATAGACAAGCTCCCTTCTGCCACTGGAGTTTGTGACAGCTCTGATACCTTTAGTGTACTGTATCCCTGATCTATCCCTGAAAATGGAAACTCCTGGGAAAAAAAAACATTTGGTGTGAATGCCCCTGTTAGCCAAGCCCCTGGGAGCAGTTAGTACATGTGTTTAAAGTTATGGGAATATTTTTGTTTTTTCAGACTTGTCATTTGACTTTTTGAAAGTCATCTAGCTACTTCTGTTTGCTTCACTTCCCTTAGTTAACAGTTCTGTTGTTTAACTGCACTGGGTTTTTGTTTGTTTCCAGCTAAACACTTCCTTAAACATCGAGAGTTTATTCTGTGCCTTATGTTAGCCACTCTATTATGCTTTCCTCCATCTTTTCCCCTCTGACACTTGAATTAATTATCTTAATATTAAGAGAGTTGGGGAGGAGGGTACATAAACAATGTATTTGGTTATATTAACTCTCACAGCCATTTGAATATGTTCTATTTGCCATTCCAGTTTTGCATATCATTTTTTTTGTAGCCTTCTCCCCACTCAGAGCTGACAATGGCTGCTTTATACTCTTTCAGTTGATATTTTAAATTAAGGAACTTTTTCCTATCTGATATGTCACCACATATGTCCACTTCCAATTGTTGTGGTTGTTTTTTTAATTTGTCCCAGGTAACTTATACCATGTTTTCAGAATGAAGTGGTTTGGTTATAACTCAGTCTTTCCTTCTCTTCCTTTGCCCCCCCTCCCATGCATTCTCAGCAGTGGCAGCCATTATTAATGCATTTTTGAACAGTAATCAAGCATTTCTAAGACCAACTTTCCATATGTAGGATATGATAAGAATTCTACCCTTCACATTTTTATGGTTTTCTCTAGATATTGATTAGTGCTGTATGAATTTAGTGTTGGACATCAAGTAATATTCCACAAACCACTGTTTAACCACTGATGGTTCATCTGGAAAGGCAAATGGCCAGGGGTTAAACGCAGTTATATATTTGTGCTGCAGACAGACTGGTTTCTGTTTCTTGAACTGGAATACAAATTTTGGCTGATACAGGTGGTTCATGGTCATCAAAATGGGAACAAATGTCCACGGAGAATGTACAAAGTTAAGATTTAAGAATAACTTTATTGCTGTTTTTGCAGCTGGTACTACAGTCTTTATAGGACAGATAGCTGCCTTCAGCATAGGGCCCAAGAAAGGCCAATAAATTAATCTTGCAGTTGTCCGATAGATCACTATTGTGTTGTCTAGGAAGGAGTGTTACCTACCTCCTGAATTGCCAAGCAACTAGGGCCTTTTTAAGCTATTGATATTTGAAGGGTATAGCTAGATGGAACAATTATCATTATAAGCTGTTCCAACATGTCATGCCAGCTTAAGCAGAGTTAAACCACTGGAACCTGGTTATATATAACTATCTAGAGATCAGCTAGATGAGAACTTTCAGCTGTATGTATTCATATGTTGATGTCAAAATGTTTCTATACAAAGTTAGAACAGTGTATCCTATCATCTGGGTTCTCATTGTTTGAGTAGACTTGACTTTTGAATGATTCGGTAGTTTAAAATGCTATGCTTAAGTAATACAAAATAATTCACATTACAGAATGACTGCACAGTTGCAGTACTGAATATATAACTCTAACTTGACATGATAGTATTGTATTGTATCAGTCCATTATAATGTAATGTTCCTTCTTAGTCTTGTTTGAACCCTTTTTAAATAATTTAGAATAAACTATCATTCAAGCGTTGTGCCAAGAATTCATTTATAGTCTGTTGTCTGGGTTCATAAACCATTCTTCTGTTATAATTTACAGTATCTTTCTGTATTGTATTTTCAAGATTCTAAAGAGAAAATCAATTTTTGCAAACCAAAAGGATTTAAAATAAGGAAAAGTATACTAAGCACCATCATAACTCACATTGGCCAAGATACTCTATACTCAGGAAAAAAATGCTTACCTCATATTCTATCACAATATAAAAAGCACAGTATTATTGCTTTCAAAGTTAAGGTTGTTGTGTTGTGAATGGCCAGTGTTATTCCATTCATGTAGAAAATCTTTGTTTTGCATCCCTTAAAACTGGTTGGCTAAAAAAAAACAACAACAAAAAGAAGCAGAAACAAAAGTGTGTAGAAGTAAACATGATTAGGGGAATTGCATAACTACATTTTGTTATTTTTATGAAGGTTTGGCTAGAGCAAAGTCTGTTCCTACAAAGACCTACTCCAATGAAGTTGTCACATTATGGTACAGGCCACCTGATGTTCTTCTTGGATCTTCAGAATATTCAACTCAAATTGATATGTGGTATGTTTAGTTTTGTAATTTTAATTTTTGCTCCTAGTTAAGTTGAAGTATTATACCTGTCTGCTAATTCCTGTAACTCAGTATTATTGTATCACTACTCAGAAACTTCAGATGATTTCTATAGGGTTACATTTAAGATATGCAGTCAGTGGGAGTATTGTTCCTACTTTCTGAAGGCTAATGAAAGTACCTTAGGCTTCTGCATGGGAGGGGGGAAGAGACATAGCCTTTCTTATGTTTCTGCTGACTAAAATGCCCAGCAGCGATACTGAATATTTACATCTATTGTGATATGGTTGTATTATATTGATTAAAAATTTACTTCAGATGTCAAGTTTACCAGTCATTCCCTGGCTTTGTGTGTACATTTTGCTTAATCTAGGTATTGCATAGGTTTTGTTCAGTAATTGTCAGCTCTTGATTTTACTTTAAATCTCTTATAATGTTTGCAACAGAGAAATATGGTTAATGGCAAAGCTGAACATTTAGAGAGTTTATTTTTCACTAATTTATCTTTCTTTTTTCTTTGTGTTCATAAAGGGGTGTTGGATGCATATTTTTCGAAATGGCTTCAGGAAGACCTCTCTTTCCTGGTTCAACTGTTGAAGATGAATTGCACTTAATTTTTAGACTCCTTGGTAAATTTAATATTTTTAATAGTAACATTACTCTTCTGAAAATTAATTTTTTACTATAAAGGACAAGTCTTCTCTTTAATGAGGGGAAGTTATTTTGCATTAGATGTAGCTGAATGAAGATATATAAACATACTGTTGCTTATTTTGTACACAATTGAATCTGTACAGCAAAACTAATTGACAAAAATTTTTCTCTTCTCTATTTTATATTACAAGGTCAAATTCTAATTTCTGAGCTGTATTTATAATATAATCTGTATGGATTTGGTTTCTTCTTTGAATACAGGGACTCCATGTCAAGAAACATGGCCAGGAATCTCTTCCAATGATGAGTTTAGGAACTACAACTTTCCCAAATACAAACCACAGCCTCTAATCAACCATGCACCAAGGTAATTATGATTCATTATTAAAACTTTTGTACCTGCAGTGGCTACATGCATTTGTCCATGTGAATAAGTTTCTATATGTACTTCACTGGTATATGTTAAATTACGTCCTTTAAAAGATCACTCGTCTTTCTGTAAACTGATATTAATGGCTTCTGGCCGAGATTATTAATGTGAAATATACCATCAATGAATATCCGATAGCTTTTCTTGCTACTGTCAAGGAAAATGAGATTCAGTTGCTAATACCTACCTAAAGGAATATTTGTACAGCCAAGTACGTAGGGCTATGTCAGGCAATAGAGAAACAATCCAAGGGTTAGGCTATTTTTGTCCATTGATTTGTCATTTGTAGCTTATACAAACTATGCATTTACAGCAAGTCTTTGAGATATTGGGATGTGCTGTATCCAGGTTCTCTCTCTCTCTCTCTCTCTCTCACACACTCACACACACTCACACACACACACACTTTCTTTAATTCTTAATAATTTTTTTGTTTTGAGATCAGTATCATTTTATGCAATTGACAGCATTTTAACTTTGCCTTTATGAATCTTTCCTTTTTTTTTGTTATTTTTAGGCTAGACTCCGAAGGAATTGAATTGATAGCAAAGTTTCTTCAAGTAAGATGCCTTTTATGTTTTAAAATTTTAAAAATCCGTATTTGTGGTTTCTTAATAAGTTGTTAAAACCACCAAATCAATCTATACAGAACTGTACAATGGATAATGGGTTAATCGTGGGTGGCTAAACAAATGACAGATTCCAAAAATTTGGGGACTGAGGTCTGACTAGTTTCATTTTTCTCTTCCATGCTTTTATAAAGTAATTTTTAAATCCAGATGGGTAATTCTCACACGGATTGGTTGTTAAAGCTGACCTTAGAAGACTTACACTTGATAAATGTAAAGAATATAAATAATTAATGAGTCAGACTAAAGCCTTAGAGAAATTGAATGTATAAGGAGAACATTTAGGTAACAAATTACCATTCCATATAGGTTATGCATATGGCTTTGCATGTACAAATTTCACTAATGTCTGTGGCTGTGAATATACTGTTTAGACTGTGTCCCTGAGTTCAGGGAGCAAACTGGATTGCATGTGCAGCATCATGGGAAGCTATTTTAGGAGTAAGCTGAGTTCTTAAGTTAGGTTGCTGAAGGGTCCGTTCCAAGTTGTTAGTTCTAAGGCGGGAGGTTATAAACTGCCTGCTGTGTAAAACAGTGGGCAGATATTATTCCTATTTAGTTACAGCCTGTAACTCAAAAATCTATACCAGCCTGTTCCTGGTTTTTTCATCTGCATATACTGAACAGATAGTATTTGGTGCCCGTGCTTGAAGATTTTTCTTGCTTGCTCAACAAATTTTCTTGGTGAAGTAAACACTTCCTTGTTGTTGTTGTTTAAAAATATTACAAAGAAAATCTGGTGACCACACTGTTGTAGATTAAGAAAATAATAATCAGGGCTCCTGATTTTCTCTGTTTAAAAATAAAAAATTCTCTGATTAAAAACCCCCCCAAACCTGCGTTTTAATTCACTGATTAAACCCCAAATCCTCACCAGTAGCCCTGCACCAGCTGTGTCACCATGGAGTATAACATGACACTGCCAGCAGCACAAGTAATAGACCATGGGGAGCCATGCTGCCCTCACCTCCTCCAGCTGCTTGTGCGCTGGGCCAGGAGGGGGAGTGGAATGGGGAGCAGTGTGGATGGCCTGAGGGGAGCGGTACCTGTAGCTAGGCCATGGTGGTGGTTTAGAGTCCCAGCCTGAAAGTGAAAAAAGCAGTGGCTTGTGGCAGGAGGAAGTGAAGAGAACGCGCCCTCTCCCCGCCCCCCCAGTCCGTTACTTCTCACGCTAGTGGTGGCGTGGTGCGGCCTTACTCCATGGGAGCACAGTTGGCACAGAGATCCTGGCAGCGATTTGCAGTGGTGGCAGCACCAGCAAGTCTTGCTGCCCTACTCTGCCCTCCCCTGCCAAGTCCCACCCACTAGGCTGCTAAGGCAGCCCAGTGCCAGTCCAGTCAGGCTGCAGCCCCATGCCTCGCTGTGGGCACACACATCTGGTGGATGTGTGGCCCCCACGCCCGTCTAAGGCCTCGCCTATGGCACGTGAGCCTTCCCCAGGAGTGCACACAGCAGTGGGGAGCCAGCCCCATTCCCACTCTCCCCCCCACCCCCTCACAAGCTGCTGTGGTTCCCCCCTGCTCCCTGGCTGGGCCCTAGGGCTGTGGACTTCCACACCACTCTTGGGCCCTGCACGCTGCCCCAGCTAGGAAGTCCCACCTGCCTCACTCTCTCCCTCACTATGCGGGCTCAGCGTGAGTCGCCACCACTGCCTCAATCTGCACCCCCCACCCTCCCCTATGTGTCACCTGTGCCCCCCACACACTGACTTGCCTGCAGGAAGTTGGGGGAGATGCTTTCTACCACACTGTCTAGGGCTGTATTGCTGGCTCTGTGCACGTGTGCACATGCACGTGGTGCCCTCTGCATCTGTTCAGCTTTTTCCCACTCCCCCCAGCCCCAAGCAGCCCCTTACAGGCTGGAACTCTGCTAGCCTGCAAGGGGAATCCTGCGTTTTACTCCTTTAAAAGAGAAAATCCATGTTTTTCTGTGGCAAAGGGAAAACCCAGATCCCTGATAATAAGTGTCATACTGGGTCAGACTAGTGGTCCATCCCTGACTTGTCTTCAACAATGGCAAAAGTAGATGCTTTAGAGCAGGGGTTTTCAACCTTCTTTAGTCTAAGTGTACCTGGTGGCCGAATGCCAAGGTGGGGGGGTGGGAAGGAATAGCATGCGGTCGAATCCCGAGCTGGGGGTGGGTGGCATGCAGCCGGACATGGAGCAGGGAGGCAGGGACAGGCCACCACTGCCTCCCACGAGCAGGGCTAGGGCGAGGCGGGGTGAGGGCAGCGGTGGCCACCATGTGCAAGCTTCTCCGCCCTGCAGAGGGGTGCCGCTGCCCTCATCCCACCCCAGCCGTGCTCCTGGGAGGCAGCAGCGCTCCATCCCTGCCCACCCGTGCATACCTCGTAGGGCCAGTCCAAGTACCCCCAGGGGTACGCATACCCCTGGTTGACAACCCCTGCTTTAGAGGGAGAACATTGAACAACGTACATCTAGAGTAATCTATTCCCTATTCGTTACCCTTCCAATTGTGTACCATCGTTAGGTTAGAGATGCCAGAGCAACATCTCCAAGTGTTCTGTGTAGGATATTGTATGAAATTCCTTTTCACAGAAAGGAATAATGCATCTGGATAAAGCATAATGTCTTCATTTGCGACTTTTTTTTAAATCTTCATGCATAAGAGAAGATGTCATCGCACCTCATGACTGATACTGGCATGTGAAATAACCAGATGTCAATCTTTTGGTTACTGTCACTAGAAAGCGTGTAAGAAAATTACATTATATTTTTTATATAATCCATGTCAGACAGGCAAAAATAAGAGTCGTACAAGGTTTTTAAAATGTCAATAAGTTCATAATGCTGGCCTCAGTAACATGTTAGCATACGTGAATAAAATTCAGGAAAAGTCCCATTTTGGTGGGAATGATCTAATAAAACTGCTTTTTCTTAAGGATAGGTCACTGGGATGCAAAAAACTATCTAAAAAATACTCCTTTTGTTTTAACAGTATGAATCTAAAAAAAGAATTTCAGCAGAAGAAGCCATGAAACATGCATACTTCAGAAGTCTTGGAACAAGGATACATACTTTACCTGAAAGTAAGAAGAATAAAATAGCAGTGTACCATCTTGTGGAATTAAAAAAAAATAGTTATCACGAACTAGCGTGAAGCATGATCTGTGGTTGAACTCTAAATATGACACAGATCTTTTGAAACAGGACCTTCATCTTTAAACAGACTGAAAAATGTTCCATCACAAGATGGTTAACTTTCTTAAACAAAACTCAAAGACTCATCTGATACATAAGTGCAAAATACAGTGGTTTTAATATTTGCACAAGGTGTCGAAGATGCTTATATGTGCTTAGCAGAGAAGCATCTATTCTAATAAGCAGTTGGACAAAATTCTTTTGGCAATAAAAAAAATGTTAAAAAATATGGGTTAGGCTTTCATGAAATGAAATGGAATGGAAAATGTAATATGAATTAGCTGAGTGGTTTTGGCTAAAATATTTTTTTCAGGGAAGATTTGTAACACTGGTGGTGTGGTTCTTCCCCAAGATTTGATGCATCAAATTTCAGTTTGTAACTTTTGGCTAGGGAGATTTGAACCACATCTTGCCCTATGTTATTTACTTGATACGTGTATATAGGTATATGTATGCGTCAGTTATAGGAAAAATTGACAGCACTTCCTCAGAATATTTTGTTGTTTATTGTGTGTATAGGCACACGCACACTTAGTAAAAATACACTAAGTAGTAGAGTATTCTGAGGGAATTTTGTCAATCTTTCCTAATAAGTGATACTGTTCCTCTCTGAATCATTAACTGGAGCAGGTTTAACCATGTGGATACAAATTAATCTTATTTTCTTGTTACAGGTGTCTCAATATTCAGTCTGAAAGAGATTCAGTTGCAGAAAGACCCTGGCTTTCGAAATTCCTCTTACCCTGAGACAGGTATAGAAACATGAATATTTTTTTCTCGTGGTCGCGCTGTGCAAGAGCACTATACACGGAAAAGTATTGTGTTAATGATGAATTGGCATGAATGAACACGGGCAAATATTGGGAAACTTCCCACTCCATTTCCTTCCCCCCAGCCCTCCTCAGAGGCTTTGGGGGCCCATAACCACCTTGGCTGTTTGCAGACATCAGAAAAAACAAAACAAAACTGTGCTTTACTACAAGAAGCAGCATGTTATTTTAACCTGGCTCTGCAGCATCTGTTTAGGTTGGGCACTTCAGCGGGGCTTTTTGGCAATTAAATAGCTGATTGAATCAGCTATTAAATAAAAGTGCCCAAAAAAGCCTCACTAAAGCATCCAATCTATATAGTTGTTGTGTGAGCTGAGTCCAGCTAATGCACTGCATCTTCTGGGCATGCACTGGGCTCGGTGCAGGAGCACACTGGGTTTAAAGTGTGATTTTGGGGGATTTTGTTGCTTTTTTTTTTTTTTTTTTTAATGCCTGCAAGTGGCCTTTAACTACTGCCTTCCATCTCCTTTCACCTTGTCATATCTTTACTTATCACTTCCAGATCATCTTTTACGTTATCTTCCCATTCTTGCTTTGGTCTGCCTTGTACCCTGTACCTCAGCTTCCAAGATCTGCTTCACATGCCTTCTCTCATCAGTTCTCACAATATGCCCTGCCTACTTGAGTGCAGCTCTGTGCCACTGCCCAGGTCACATCTGCAGAACCATTGCATCCCCCCACTAGTAAAGTACACCCCATCAGCTCTGCACTACTGCATGCCCCTGGCACTGCAGACTGGCCAGAGATCTGTGCTGCTCTGGGTAGTGGCATGGAGCTGTGCTCAAGTGGCAGGTCAGAGCTCTGGCCAGTAAGCAGTGCTAGGGGCATGTGGCAGTGCAAAGCCAAGGGCATATGGTGACACAGCCTTGTTTGGGTGGTGGCATGAAGCTGGGGGGCTGCCCCCCCATAGTCTGTATCTGCACTGCATATGACCTTGGCTTCAGGTCCATGCTGCTGGCCAAGCTTTGTGCTGCCACCTGGCCAGAGCTGTGTCACCGCACACCCTTGGCTCCTTGCTGATGAATGACCCTGGCTCTGTGCTGCCTGAACGTGGATCCAGGCAGCCGCATGGCTCTGGCTTCTTGCTGGTTCACGGTCTCAGTGTTTAGTCCTGCTGACATGAGAGCAAGCCCAACTCTAGAATCAAATACTGAAGAAGTTGGGCTTGCTCTCATGTCAGCAAAAGTAAATACATGATCTCGTCCAGAAATAAATCTCAGTATCACAGGAAGATAAAGATAGGGAATGGCAATGTGGGAAAGGTAGAGAAGTTTAAATATTAAGGAACAATAATCACTAGGACAATCAAATAGCTGAAGAAATCAAAGTGAGAATTTATAGCACTGATATTTGCCTCTTGCATTTGGATAAAATAATGTCATCAAAGAAAACTGTAAGAAACCTTAAAATCCATCTTTATAGTAAAGTTGCTCGACCTGTCTTTTATATAGATGGGAATCCTGGATGCGGAAGAAGGCTGCGAGTGTTTGAAAACAAAGTGCTATTTGCTCAGGTTGTGCTAAAATCCCTGCAGAGTCAAATCTGGATTTTTCATATCCAGCTTGTTCATGACCCATTTGGTTCACAGCAGGCAGCTGAATTAATCATGAGCTGCTCATCTTATTGTTGTACCTGCACTGCTTTTCTCATCAGCTGGAGCTCATCAGCAGTCTTGCACAGCTGATTGGAGAAGTAGCACCCTTTCAAATAAAAGCAAAGAGCTGGGGCAGCTTAGTGGTCCTGTACAGCTGTTTGCTGCAGCTAAATGTGCTCCCATCTCGCTCACAAATCCTCATCTTAACAGGGGGAAAAAAGCCTAACCCTATCGAGAAACTGGGTTCTGCTGTACATTAGACATACAGAGAAATGTGTTACTAGAGATAGGCAAAATAGCATGGAAAATGTCTGCAATCCAAAATGGTCAGTATCTGAATGCTGGATGTCTTACCTGGTTTTCAGCAGAAGAAACACCAAGACATCACATCAAAGGACAGTGAATGCTGTGGGCTGCAGCAGCAGTAAAGTGAATCTGTGATTAGGTAAAACAGGAAGGGACGTGTTAAATATGTGGACACATGTAACAATTGAACTGCTCCAGTATGTGACTGATTGGGAACTGGTTTGCAGTTGTCATGGGTCAGGGTGTAGGCACATGTACCATGCTCTAGCATTCCAGGTAGAACTGTCACCTATTAGGCACTGAAGTGTTGTGGCTCTGAAATCATAAGATGGGAGTGAGCACCCAATCCGGCATGCCTTGTGATTGGCAAATGGAGGAGAAAAAGTGATTGCACTGATGCTTTGAGGGGTCTCACTGAGTGGGTGGCCTGTGTTTGGGCGCACGCTTTTAGAGGGAGATGGCAGGATGATGTGGGGCCACAGTTGAGTAAGGAGTGAAGATACTTCTGGTTATTAGGAAGATAGCTTTGATTGAAAAAGGAGTGCAGGGGAACACATGATAAATAATGCCAATAAAAGGGGGGGAAAGGAGACAATATAATTCTGGCCACATACCAAAGTAACCAGTGTTTGGGGGTGCGGAACAGTGTGGTTTAGGACAGCGTTTCTCAACGCCAAGGTTGTGACCCAAAAGTGGGTCACAAGCATATGAGAAGGTTGCAAACAAACTTTAAAAATGGATAAACAAACTTTACAAAACGGGTTCTCCTGTAAAGGATAAAAATGTTTGAAACTGTGGCTTTTCCTTTGCAGGCTGGCAGAGGGGCTGCTTGGGGCCCCCATTCCCCACATACACCCCACCCTGCCCCACATATTGGGGGGCTGGGGTGGAGGCAGTAGGTTGAGAGTGAGGGGTACTGGGTCGGGACTGGTCATTGACGTTTACAAATAAGTTCTGGTACAAAAAAGGTTGAGAACCACTGATTTAGGAGAGCTAGAAGTTCACAGTAAATCAGTTCAAAAGAGTACTTGATTTTCCTAGTAGACTTTCAAACTCTTTCTCTGTTCTAGGAGTCTTAAAACAGGTTTTGCAGACTTGTAAGACTGGCTGCTTCAGGTTTAAACTGCATTTAAACCAGCTCAGATGTTACATGTGTCCATACTGTATGTAGGTAACTATCCTGATGTAGAAAGTGTGGGTGGCATGCAGTAAACATGTGCCTGTTTGTAACGAACTTAAATCTTCTGTTTCAGGACATGGGAAGAACAGAAGGCAGAGCATGCTTTTTTAAAGCTGGCGATACAGATTCAAGCCCAAGCCTATCTTTATCAATCAAGGACTCAGATCTGAAGGCAGTTCTTTCTTTTGGTGGACTTGGAATCTGTTTGTCTGCACTGTTCTCTTCACAGTGGAGTCTTTTTATTTCCAACCTGCAGATTATGTTTTTATATTTGTTGTCACAGTGTGACAATTTTTTGTACAGTTGGTTTTAAGGTCTCCTCTGCCATTAGAGCCAGTAGGTTACAGCTGTTTATGTAACTGTAGCTGCAATTTTTGTGCAGGACTGAGAAACACAGTGCATTATTTATTGCGGAATCATTGCTGCTAAATAACTACTGTCTGTATAGTTAACACAACAGTTCAATGCCTGAAGAAGTTGCAATGGCTTTATAATATGTGAATGCATCTGTTTCTCTTCATAAACTGTTTTACTGCTGCAGTTTTTTGTATTTTTAAACTGCAGTGTTTCCTGGAATGTAAACATAGCTTTGCTTGACTATAGGTGAACCATCTTTAACGCTCTAAGTTCATGGCACTTAATTCCTTATTTAACATTGGAAATACAGTAGTTGACGTATTATGAAGCATATGATGTTTTTCAAAAGCACCTGGTGAGAGAGTTGATTCAAACAAGTGAATGGTTAGTTATTATTTGCATTTTAATCTTGTATCTGTTACTGGTAAATTAAAGCACAGAGACTGAATGATCAGTTTTGTCAGGATTCCTCCGATACAAGATATTTGCATGTGATTGTGCATCTCTTTCCAGATGCAACAAGGTTCTTTACCTTCTTTTTAACATAATTAGGAATATGAATAGCAAAAAATCAATTACGTGCATCTCTGTTTTACTTTCAGAACTGAGCTTTGATTTTATTTTTTTTCTTTACAAAATAACAGGATGACTTAATTACAAGAGCATGGGAACAATGTCATATTTTTCCCCTCTTGTGGATTTCTCATTACTACATTATTCACTTGAAATCAACTGGAAAGATGCAAGTTCATACTTGATAAGAACTCAGTATACATTACAGACCTTTTGAAAATGGGAACTTAGAGGGTTTTTAAGATCTTAGATGTTATCTGTTTACCAACGATAGTAAACATGTTACTACTACGCTTATGCATCTCAGTGAGTATCATAAGTACACCCTTGGTGATGGTAACAGTATTTTTAAGCATTTGTGTTCACCTTTATGAACTTATTTGTTTAGTGCATCTTAAAAGAGACTGTAAATCTTTTATTGGTATATTTTGAAATGGTCATGTAAATCTTTGGCTGGTATATCATGAAAATAGTCATAGATAACTTAATTTTTTTTTTCCTGACATTCACTGTAAAACATTCAGGGGTCCTATCATTTCTGTTCAGGAAATCTTGTAGTTTATTGTTATTTAACAGTATTAAGTGAATTTTTGTATATTTCATTTTAACTTTATTTGTGAATAGTGATTGTGGCATGTTTGGGGGTGTTTTATTAATATTTCATGATACTGGTAAATTGAACTGGGACTTTTTTATTTTCTGAAAAGAGAGAAGTTCATGTGTTATAGTGAATCTTGGACCACTACCGCTTTTCAGCATTTGTAAGCCGGTTTTACGTTACAGAAACCCTTATAGACCTAACAAAACTGCTGTTATTTCTAACTGACAGACCTGTATTAATATTGTACTTTTGAAAGTATAAATATTATGTGGAATTCCTTGGTTTTGTTTTGAAGTTTATAACAACAAGGCTCTGTGTTAAAACACAAATTTGGTGATCTAGTTTTCAAGACATTACATTTTTTAATCGGCTCTATATGTTGCAGGAGTGACTGATCTTAAATTTGCCCTGTTTGTGACTCATATAACACTGAAGTAGTAGCAGCAGCAAAGACCTGACTTTTGTGCACCTGATACTGTAGGTGTATTAAATTTGGCATGTTCCGTGAATGTCAGTAATTGTTGCATCAAAAATCAAGAGCATGATACATTCTTCGGATGGATGGATGTTGTTTCCACTCGTATCAGTGGAAGAGCTGCGCCTATGTCCTAAGGCTAAATATGCCCTTGGGGAAGAAGTGAAAGATTGATCCTAAAGAATTGTTTAGACTTTTGTACATACAGTACTGGAACCTGAGCGTTGTGACAAACTTTGTGGGCCTGGGAGGGGAGCTGAAATGTCAATGTTAAGATGCAGGTACCAAAAAATCTAGTTCTTCATATAAGAAGTAGAGATATAGAGCACAATGCTCATGAATACAATAGAAACTGTTTAATATTTTATATTGTGTACTAATTGCAAATATAAGAAGAAAACAAAATGTGGCATTCTTTGATGATTCAAGGGACTTTCTATGAACATTTTACCAGTAAAATGATGTATGTATAAAAGTGTAGAAAGCTCTTTATAGAAGAGCCAACTGCAGCTCCATGGTTAAAGATAAGTAGATTTTTCCACTTAAACAAAGACTCCAATATTTCTACCCCCATCCCCTCCAACCCTCAAGATTTGACTCTGGGTAGAGAATTAATGTGTTGACAATTTACAGGTGAACCTGGTTACTTAGTTAGGAGATGAAATTATTTAAAATGTAGCATCCAGTTTCAGACTTTTTATTTTGTCCCAAATTATGCCATTAACCAAATTTTTACATACTGTTTAAACTCACCAAAATGAACTGTTCATAATTTGAATCTGAAACTTCAAAAGGATAAATATTTATCCTATAACTAAGGTTTCTCTATCAGGAGAGGGAAATCTATCGTTTTTTCAGAGTGGCATTTCCAGTTGTTCTCTATGCATCTGAAGCCACTGATGCTCTCAAGTAGCCTTTTTTGAGAGGTACATTGCTCTTACATTGTTTCCAGTGGGAGCTGATGTTTTCTTTCTGGTATCTGAAGGCACAGGGCACCGTCATCTGCTTCAGATCTGTGTTTCACTTTCATTAAGAACAATGAGAGGTAGTGGCCATTTTGAAGGAAGGTGGCATTGTCATCTGTCCTGTTGAAGCACAAGAATTGTCTTATAGAGGGCAGGTTTTGCAAGGATTTCTGGGGATAGTCAGCTTACTCTAATCTGAGATCACAAATACCATGTTTACCCAAGTCCAGGACAACTTCAGATTTAAGATGGCCCCTAATAATTAGATTCCATATGTGGAACATTTTAAATGTGTTACAATTTTCTGTCTCTAAAACCTAATTATTGGTGGGTTGTCTTGAATTCATCCACTCGTCCCCACTTCCATGCCCCCTGCTGCCTGCCCCCTGCAAGGTGGGGGTCTCCCTAGCACTGCCCCCTCACCGTGCAGTCTCCCTTACCATACTCCCCCGTCCTTTCCCCTGCTGGACAAGCCACCCTAGCCTGCCCTCGCCTCAGCAGCTGCCTGCCCCAGGCCCCTGCTTGAATCTAAAGCAAGGGTCAAATGGGGAAGAAACATCTTTACGTTTCAGTATCATAATTCTTTTGTGTTGAATTTTAACTCTGAATTTCTTAGTTGGTTTTGAAATGGTGTCACCATCTTTGTGAAGTAGTATCTTCCTTTAAATTTCTGGTGGGTATTCTTGGCTTTGCAGTTTTACATAATTTTTTTTTGTGGAGAAAAAATTCAGGGCTCTATAATTTAGACACAAGGCTGGATAGATTTGCACCTTTATAAACTAACTAAATCAGAGATGCATAGCTTAAGCTTTTGTAAGCAAAAGGCTTGCTTCATCAAAGGCTGTGATATACAGTTTTAGCCAACTTAAAAAAAACTTTAAAAGGTCCAGAACACATGCATCACTTTAGGACGGTAAGTAGTCACAGGATTTACTACACCTTCTATAACCATTTAAGAAAATATTTAGGCTTTCTTGTCTTGATAGCTTTCATAATGGAACCAGTAAAAGCTTGATCTTATTCAGTTTATGTGGAGGACATGGAAACAAATCTGCAGAGGAACTCTGAACCGTCTCCAGTTGTTCTAATGGGATGTTATTTAAATACCACCGTTGTTATCTAAACACTTGGAAGAGTGCTCGTCATTTCCTCGTTTCTGGTATTCCCTTGTAGATCCCTGGTGAGAGTACCAGTCTGCCGGACTGAAAAGGAATATGAATGTGCCCATACACATACGCAGTAATGCCATTAGCTTGATTTCACAACTTTAATTTCTCTTTGTTCTCTGAGGGTGCAGTGCCTTCTGGATTTGCCAGGGCAGGGGGTAGCGGTGGGTTTGATTTTTAAGGATAGTTGAGGGGTTGTTTTATCTATATATGCAGTTATGAAGTAAGCTTGAGACCATCTGAACTTAACTGCTGGGAAAAAGTGATTATATTATAGCTAGGAATTGAGACCCCTTGCCTACAAGATGCCATTTTTCTGATTTCTCCTGAAGAAGACTGGCTGCTTCAGAGTGCTTAACCAAGGTTTGTTCTCCTTTTTTTATTGTAATCAACATAAAGTGTTTTTTGGTGTCTTCCAGTGCTTTTCACCCTAACATAGGAGGTGTGCACTTCATAAGTGGAGTTAAAGCTTTCTAGCATTACTTAGCCAAGACAGCTTTCTTTGGGAAGTCCTTGTTAAAAGCTTAGTATTTTAATGAAGAAGGTTAATGAAACTGAAGCTTCCATCCCCAGATGGCTCAGGAGTAGGTACCATCATAAGTTAAAGAATACCTTTTCTTCTGGATTCATGTTTATTCTAATATATAGGATATATATAGTAGCATCAGAGACAGAGGAGAACAAAGAATCCTATCTATAATGTGGTAGATCTGTTCATTTCTTTTTGAAGCAAAATGAGGTAGACTTGGTGGCTTCCTCACATGTGTTCTATAACCATGATATTCTGCAATCTTTGTTTATGTCCTTTTTGTAAAATTTGTCTTATGTAGCAATTTCCCTCTTATAGTCTCCTTTTTACTACATGCTGCTTCTCAGAAGTTTTCAGGCTGACCTGTGTTCATTGCACGAGAGAGTACAATTTTGCTTTATCTCTTAACTGGTATTCTCTTCAAGCAGGCATCTGCCAAATGGGATTTTCTCTCTTTTATCTCTTATCATTCATCAATGCATTCCAGTGTTAGAAGCATTCTCTCCATCTGAAAGCACAGCACTCTGTATCTCCTATAGAGCAGGCCTGGAATCCACAAAAGAAAATATACATATGTGCACAACTGTCTCCTGGCTGAGATTCCCAGGTGCTTGTTGCTGTTGTGGTGGATATTCCTTCCACTGGTATATCAGCTAAAAAGTAAAATGAAACTATCTCCTAATCCTGGACCCAAAATAGCCTATAAAAGAAAGCAAAGTTCCTTGGTTTAAAAACCAGACTAGTTTTGCTCCCGAAGTTGGAATACGTGTGTAAACTTAAATAAAAACCGTGCTTCCAGTTCATCGACTTTGCTAATAAAATCAAAGGGAAGGAACTTCAAGCTGGTTTCTTTTTTGATGGGAACAACACCGCCTGCTAGAAGTAATCTCGGAACCACCAACTGTGACCTTCCATGGAAATATTGACACTTCCAAGCATTTATTTGTTACAGTTTATTTGTTTTTATTTATTTAAAGTAGTTAATAACATTCATCAGAAATTCAGAATTTTTCATAAAGCACAAAGAGGTGTAACAGCTAATATGTTAGACAAGTGTGAAACTATCCTCCAAAAAATAACCTGTTCGCGAAGTGTACATGACTTGATGTCCTCTCAGAGAAGGTTGGTGGTGTTGGGTCATTAGTAAATCGAGTATCTGTGAAGAAATACAATCTTAAAAGAATCTGGATTTTTTTTCTTTCATAGGGATCTGTTCTGGTTTGTGATGTGAGTCAGTAACAGTACAGCTCCTCTCCCAGTCTCACTCGTCTTTTTTGCTGTTTGGAATTTAAGAGCACTTTTAATACTTATCTGTGTTATGTTGCAGCTGTTACTTTCAGTGAGTATCTGTACTATATAAACTAGAAAGGAGATGTATCTTCTTCACTGATGCTTAATTCTCCCCTGAGCTATGCCAGAAAAAAATCAGATATAATTCCATTGAAGAAGGTGGTTACATTAGTGTACAGTAAGAAAATAATTGATTCCAGTATTTCTGGAACATGGAGATTGCATATTTATTATTTAAAAGTCCTTTGCACTTGAGACCATGTGTATTTAAAAAAAGAACATGTTAACTGTACAAGAATTTGACCTGCAAGCTCTTGTCCACTGCTTCCACGTGGATTATTCATGTGTCTGACCCAGCAATCCAGGCTGGTAGTTGTGTGACCATCTTTGTCCCATTAGCTGGAGATTTTGCACGAGACACTCCTTGCCATGGTCCATCATTGAAGTGCACCTCCCTTTCTGGCTATACATGCAGAAGAGCATGATAAGATTTTTCTCTCACCTACTCTTATAGCTTTGCTCATATCACTGGTGCTAGTGCAGGTTTTATCCATTGAATTAAACTATTTGAACCTGAGGAATCTCTTCTGATTGCATGGTCAAGGATCCTAAGGAAAATGCCTGCTTGCTTTTTTATGAACATATATCCCCAAAAATGGCTCTCAACAATCACAACTGCATTAATAAAATGTTTATTTAGCACCTTTCAACGTGAAGGATCCAAAAGCACATTACATTTAACTACACACATCATCATTGAATTACATCCAGGCAAATAATCGGCACAAAACTCACTGTAAAACTCAAGAGTTAGGAGTTTTGGCTAGTTGCAAGGGGCAACCCCCCCAGTATTTTGCATTAAAAAAGTGTTATGGGCTCTTTAATGACCAGATGTAGCTGACAAGATCCTGACTTTAAGGTCTCATCTGAAAGATCCAGATGGTAAACTTTCACAACCTAATTTATCTACCTCAGATGACTGAATGTTTGCATCAGCCCTGCCAAGATTGGAATCTGTGGTGCCAGAGTGTCTAGCCTAGTTCTGACCTGACGTTTAGATGACTAAGCCATCACCTAAAGCCAGAGGGCATACTTAATAAAGTAATATTTTGGTTGCATGTAGATAGCAATACAGCATTATTTATGAATCCACTGTTCTCAAAGACTTTAGATGTTTGTATATGCACAGGTCTATGTATACAATAGGTCTCTTCACAAGCACCAGAAGTTAATTAAACATTCTGCAATTTCTGTTGAGGGAAAACTTGGCTGACGGAGCTAAGCAGCTGGAATACTCTTCTGAGTGAAGTGGTAGAAGGCACTTGGCAAAAGTGAACACTATAGGAAACAATCCTGCATCAGCCACAAGGATGGAGGCTGCCTAAGGTCTTACCAGCTATCATTGCTACAATTCATAAGAAATAATAAATACTGTATAAGGCCTCTTTGTCTGCAGACCAGCTTTCAAAAATTTGGAATGTTTTATGAACACGTAACGCCCAATTCCTTGCTGATGTACCTGCAGTGATTTCAGTAGAGTTACACCGGGGAGGAACTTGGGGCAGCATTGTGTAAATATGGCTTAGTTACTGCTAAACACATTTCCTGGATATAAAATTTATTATGGTCTCTCAATTCAGCAAAGAAAAATTATAAGGCTATTTTTATACAAATTGAAAGCACTTAATACAAAGTTACATGAATACACTGTGTCATATGGCCTATCTGTGGAAAAAATACTGAAATACTACCATAGGGTGGTTGTTCAATACTAGTTTCATCTTTCAACTTTTTATCTTAATACTAGAAAATATATAAATCATTTACATAACATTATGCAAAAAGAAGGCACAGCCGGTTATAGTTTACACAAGCACAATACATAATATGCAGAAAAAAGGGATTAAAAAAGCTTCACATCCTTATTAGAGATATTGTTGAAATCCATTAAAAGTACTTCATCAACAACAGTGTTCAACACTTGAGAGCTAGGATATAAAAAATTATAATTCATTTAATGCAAAACAGATTTTTATATATGTATATAAAAATCATTGCTTAAAAATGCTAACATAAACTAGATGATCCATGTAATGAAAAGTGCAAACCAACCAATGTAATTGAGGGTTTCACAATGTCCTTCTCATGACAGGAAAAATAACCCATGGGACTGAATGTGTTAAAACAGTTAATGAGTCCTTAAAACATGAAGAGGCATCATCAGGACTTGTGAGCATTTGGAGAAAGCAGTACTGGAGAAGAGCCCCCATCCAAACTGGGGATTGGCACCGGTATGTGACCGTTCAGGAGAGTTGGAAACTGCAAGAAGGCAAAGGATAAAATTTGTTTATTTCAAAGCATTAGCCCCAATCCGGTATGTGTTGAATACTGACAGCTCCACATGGTGTCAGCTTCGCAAAGGTTGTGGTTCATAGGTAAGAAGACAGACACTAATGTTCTGCTTCAAATAGTAAGAGTAAAACATATTACTGAAGGACTGAAAACAGCAGGTTTTATAATGTCCAAAGAAGAAGAATATAGTTGATTACAATGAATAAGTAAGTAATAAAATAACTATCACATAAGATAACTATCATCATCTATAGAGAACGGTCTGTCAGCTATCAGGGACATAGGATTATAAAACAGCCAACTGCCTGTCAAATGATGAGGTGGGGGCAGAGCACTGCCACCCAGTGCCCCACGGTGCCACCACTCTGTATCAGGCCCCATGTGCATCCCCCCTCCCCCCCGGCTCTCAGCTTGCATGCAGCAGTGGCCACTGACACCCAGTGCCCTGCACTACCATCAGTCCACGTCCAGCCGCACGCAGCATCCCTCTAGTCCCTGCCTCCCCTTTCTCCCCACCGCATCCCTCTGCTGGATGTTGTTGGGGCCAGGTGGCAGTGGCAAAGGGAAGCTGCCACCAGAAATCCCCCTATTTCCTGTCCCACTCCCCTCTTTCTCTCCTTTCCTCCCCTCTTTCCTGCCATCCCCCCTCTCTGCCAGGGGGAAGGGCAGGGATGGAGCTCCGCTACCCACCCTCCCACACCGCTGCCACTTGCCAGAAGTGGGGGGGTGAAGCTTGCCCTGCAGTCCCCACCCCCAGCACCCCAGCTGCCTCCCAGGAGTAGGGGGCAGTGGGGAAGCTTGCCCTGCCATCCCTCCATCCCCCTAAGCCAGCACCCTGTGCTACTGCCACCTCCAAGGAGTAGGGCTGGGTGGGAGGGGGGTCAAGGGGCAGGTGCGGCACTGGCCTAGCCCCCTCCCCCCTGCTCCATCCCCACCATCATGGTGGCACAATGCCGCCACCACCTCCTGTCCGGAACGCTCTTGGAGCACTCTGATTGCCAGCCAAGACAATCGGAGTATGAATAAAGTGTTATGGACAGACAGACTAAGGCTTTTATAATATTAGAATTCTTTAAGACTGCATTTCTCAACCTGTGGGTCGCAAGAATATATGAAAGGGTTGCAAACAAACTTTAAAAATGGTTTCTCCTTTAAAAGAAAAAAAAGTGGGAAACCATGGCTTTTCCCTTGCAGGCTGGCAAAGTTCCAGCAAGCAAAGTAATGTGTCCTCTCTGCTGCATGTTATAGGTGACAGGATGTGCCCAGAGCCCCAGTGAGGACCTGGATGGGGACACACGTGTTTGACTGCCATAGCCCCAGCTCTCTGACTGCTGTCTAACATAGGCACCCTCCCTGCCATTCTCTAGGGGTTCAGAGCTGAGGGGTCTATGATAGAGTTCCAGCCTGCAAGAGGCTGCTTGGGGCCTCCCATGCCACCCCCCCTCCCCTCCCATCCTGCCCCACACACTGTGGGGCTGGGGGTGGAGGCAGCAGGTTAGGAGGGAAGGGCACTGAGTTGGGACTGGTCATCGATGTTTACAAATGGGTTTTGGTATAAAAGACCTTGAGAACCACAGCTTTAAGACACTAATTAGTAATTCTGCATTTTAATTTCTCTTCAAGAAACACGCAGTAAAAATCCTTAAGAAACTCAAAGTCTAAGCTCAAGGTGTTTCAGCTATAATAGAAAAATGCAAGTCATCAGCAGCTCCAGTTGGCTGGAGATGCTAATAAATCCACTGCTGTGATTCTTCACCTTTTTAAGTAGGGTTGGGCCACTGGAACTGGCAAATTAAAATTTCTCAAAATACAAGGCTTGTGGTAGACTGAGGGGGGCAGAGACTAAAATGTAGGCTGCTGTTACCTGCAGAACTGATGCTTTGCACTGCTATTCTGTAGAAGTGACCTAACTTCCCTTGTTTGCCACCACTGTCTGGAGGCCTGAGCGCTCTTCCTGGTGCTTTTTACCCTTAAAATGTGCTCTGCTTGTACATATTTTACAACACCCTGTGACACATGAAAGTCCTATTATTATTTTATGGATGAGAAATTTGGGTTCAGAGGGATTAAGCAATTTACACAAAAATGGACATGTATTCTATGGCAGAACTGGGAACTGACCCCACACTGCTTCAGTGATCTTAAAAGAGCTAAAGAATCCATGTACTATCTGCCATACCTGGTCATCTTATTTTTTTTCCCATGGCTTTTCCTAGTGTTTTTCCTGTCAGGTTTAGCAGCTTTCAGAGCTTCTGAGGTTTCAGTTGTTCTCAGGGGGTTATAGCTTTCCTTTTCCCCCCTGAAATATTTACTATTTTTCTTGCTCCATAAGAAACATTGCCCACTAGGTTCTGACAGTGCTGGAGGTGGTCAAACTCTGCATACAAACTAATGCATGTCTCTCAAATAGCACTTGTTATCTTAATTAACTTATTTTGAAAACCCACAGTGACTATGTACAAGCCACATACTGATGGCCTTTCAGTATGTGGAACAGAGTGCCACCTCTTCACAAATAAAGAACATACCTGGAACAAAGTGTTTGGTCCTTGCAGCCTGGCAGGACTCAACGGAGCTACAGGACTAAGACTGCTCCAAAAATGAATGCTGGACAGCAGTGGACTTGGGGTCAACAATAATCCATTTGGGGTCTGCAAGACAAAACGCACCAATTGCAAGTTTTAAGGTGGAAGGCAACATGGTCACATTCATGCCCATCGATGCTTCATCACTGTAGCAGTGAGCTACGTCGCCATAGCTTAACACTATGGCAATGTAGCACGTCATGTAGACGTGCCCAGTGTTACAATACTGTGTACACCTTGTTTTAAATACTAACTATAAACCCAACCTCATTTATTTCAGAGTAATGTTTTTCATTGTATTGTAGATTAAGAACTATTCCAACCAGCTGTAACTTCTGACTGATTAAGCCAATCATGTTTTAGTCATGTGATATGCAGCTAAGCTTTGAAGTTCACTTCCATAGCTGCCTCTCTCCCACTCTTCTTGGAAGCAGGTTCAACAAAATGAAATTGCAGAGGCTTATATACTGAAAGGTGGCTTTGTGACAGGATTCCAGCTGCTGCCAGACACCTAATAAGGATTATCTGTATAAAGAAGGGAGCAAACTGGTGGTGGTCACAGAGCTTTTGTTGGATTGATTCAAGTCAGCAGGGCTGGATGAACTTCATCCCAGGGTACTGAAGGAATGGCCAGAGGAGATCTCTGAGCCCTTGGCAATGCTCTTCATGAAGTTGTGGGAGAGAGGCCAGGTACCAAAGGACTGGAAAAGGACAAATGTAGTACTACCCCTCTTTTAAAAAGGCAAAAAGGAAGACCCAGGTGATGACTAGAAAATGATATTTAGTGGTTTGATTTTGGGAATTGGCTTGTAGGTAAAGTAGATATGCATTAGAACAATGGTCCAGAGCAATGGCAAGGGTTAATTTATTTCTAAAAAGCCTGTTTGTGAAAAAGTTTCCTTCAAAGACCACGTTGTCTGACACAGGCAAGTAGACACACAGGCTAGGAAATTGAAGACCTGTACCACACTGTTCCATAACATGAGATAAGGGACACTGCCACGTTGGTCAGGTCATGGTGCCTAACTGCAGGGCCCCTAAGATTTCCAGTTTTGGTAGACAGACTAAATTAGGAGAAACTGGAAAGAACCAAATGAGGGTGTGTGCATGCAATGGGTTTGTGAAACAAAAGAATATACTGACAGGACAGAACAAGGACAGTATGATGACCACAGGAAGACCAATCGATGCCTGGAGATGGAGTCATCAGAACGGGGGAAAAAGAATACAACAAGAGGGGTTTCAGAGCAGCAAAGCGTCCCCAAGAGGGGAACCAGAGGTCACCATGGACATAGGGTATACCACCAGCCAGTCTCATCTACCCCACTGTGTGTGTGTGGAGCTTGGCCTCCAACCTCCAGGCTGCTGACATGTGACATTGACAAGAGAACCTGAGTGAAGCTCGCACAGTGGCCAGACGTACCCTGACTCTGTGAACCCTGGGACTGGCAGATATAGAATTGTTTGCAATGTTCTTATCTGCTATCACTGTGTATCAATACAGTTCACCTATTATTGGGTGGAGTGATTGTGGTCAATCTGAGGGTTTTGGGTCTGCCTGGAACAAGGTATCTGGGTCATAAATTCAGTGCCAACACTGGAAAACCATAGACCAGTTAGCTTCACTTCAGTTACTGGAGCATATCCTAAGCAAGGCCATTTGCAAGTATCTAGAGTAGGAAAGGCTGTTCACAAACAGCCAGCATGGATTTATGACAAATCATATCAAGCTAACTTGATCTCCCTCTTTGACAAATTAACTACTTAGACGGATGAAGGGAAGGCCATGAATACAGTGTATCTGGACTTCAGAAAGGCTTTTGACAAGGTTCTGCATGACCTCCTCATAAATAAATGAGAGAACTACCACAAGGTGGACACAACTGGCTCAGTAGCTAGAAACAAAGGGTAATTATAAATAGGTCCATGTCAAACTGGCAGGAATTTTTGAGTGGAGTCCCACAGGGGTCTGTCCTGGGCCTGGTGCCATTCAATGTATTTATTAACAATTTGGATGCTAACATAAAAGCTTTTTGAGCAAGTTTGCAGATGACATGATAATTGGAAGGACTGCAAACTGCTGGAGGATGTGAGCACAATTCAGAAGGACCTTGATAGATTAGAAAGTTGGGCTAGAGCTATCAGGCTGATGTTAAATGCAGACAAATGCAAGGTGCTACAATAATCAAATACAATCAAATCAGAGGTTTAATCAAAACACAAATATAAAATGGGTGACACTTGGCTGGATGGCAGTACTATGGGAAAGGACTTGGGGGCCTTGGTATATCAGAGACTCAATATCAGTCTGCAGTGTGACAGCCACACAAAAGGCAAATGCAGTTTTGGGCTGCATCAATAGAAGCATTAGCTGCAAGACGTAGAAGGTGATAGTGCCTCTCTACTCAGCACTGGTTAGGCTTCAGTCGGAGTAGTGTGCACTGTTCTGGGCTCCATATTTTAAGGGAGAAGTTAGGGTCTAGAGGCAGGCAACAAAGATCATAAAAGGGTTGGAAAAGACTGCCTTTGGGACTCCATGGGGGCTTTTTCAGTTCAAGAGGATGCCTTTCGGATTACATGGGGCTGTGGCATCCTTCCAATGAC